ACAAGCAAATGCTGCACTGACCTCCATCCCAAGCCTCTTTCCATTCTGAGTTTGTTTTCTGTCTCTACAGAGACCCTTGGGTTCAGGTTTTCTGGAGCAGAAAGAAAAGAACTTGACATTTAGTTAAAAGGAGGCCAGTAACAACTGAGGGCCAGAAACCGGTTGCTTAGAAACCTCTGTGGATTGGGAAGAGGGTGGGCATTCAGAGCTAGGCAACCTAGAAGGAGCTAGAAAGGCAGGTTTGCCAGCAAACACCTCTCCCGCCCTCTTACAGACTCCTAGAGGGCTGGGCTGGGTATACTCTTGGGAGACCTCTAGTCCGGCCGCCCCAGGGCACAGCTGGGGAAGCTCAAGTCTTCACCACCTTCAACAAGAGCAATAGCAAATATCATGGAGTGGCCAGGGGTGGCTGAGGCAGTCTGGAAGTAGAGCTAGTGACTGAAAATGCATCTACCAGAGTGAAGGAGCCAACGCAACAAGGCCTTGAACTAAAGTCAAGTACCTGGGGACTGAACCCTGAGAGCAGCGGGGAAGTCTGGGAAGGTGTTCATCACTGAGCACTGTCTGCATTTTCCAAAGGCCCAGGGGTTCCAGAGACTGCAGCGTGGGAGACCTAGGATAAAATCCAAACACCTCAAGGCCCTTCCTGTCAGTCCACACTACACACTGCAGCCAGTTTCTGGGTCGGCCACTCCTGCTAGACCCTTCATTGTCACTATACGGTGACTCTGTGCCTGGCTCTGCCTCCCCTCCTATTCCAGTTACTGCTTTCACTTAGTGTGAAAAGACAGTTCACTACGCTGAATTCACATAGGGCATCGCAGAGTGGTTCACCCCAGTCTCATGACGGCTGAGATTCCAGCGCCTCTAACAGCTATCAGGAACACAAATGACCCTAGGCTGGACTGTCCCCAAGTTTCTGTTTGTACATCCGGTGTCAGGCCTCAATCATCAACTAAAGCACCTAGGCAAAGTCTCCTCCATGCTTCGTCACATGACCACCTCAGTACTGGCCTTTCGACAGGGAAGCTCAGTGACCTTACCCTGGGAACCCTGCAGCATCCCTCCTGCTACCTGCTGTTCCTCACAAGGGGACGGCAAAGGCCAGCCTGGACCGAGGGGGAAGTTCAAGGGACAAGGTCTGAATTTGTAGCTATACTAAAACCACCATCTGCTGAAATTTCAGGTCACAAGGGTAAGGGTGCCGATGGTGCCCTACCCGGAGCCTACCTTCCACTGAGCCATTTACTGTCATAAGTTCAAGCCTGGGTTTATGTCTTTCTCTTTAGATCCGAAAGGCCAGGGAAAACCACTTTTGGATATCTAGTGACTAAGACTCACCTGGCTAAAGCTCATCCTTAAGTAACGCTGGGGCTCAGGTCAGAGTTCAGTTGCTAGAGCACATGCCTAGTATAAATCAAGACTTGAGTTCAAGCCTCAACACCATGTAAACGCAGCATGGTGCTTCGTGCCTGTAGTCCCAGCACTCAGGAGGCCAGCCTGGGCTAGAGTGAGACTTTGTCACCAAAAAGCAAAATGGGAGCTAGGTGTGGTTGACAAATGCCTTTCATCTGAGCACTCTGGAAACACAGCGGCGGATCTGAGTTCAAGGCCAGCTTGATCTGTCTGTACGGTGAGCTGCAAGCCAGTGCAGAAGGGTGGGGATGGCTTAAACCGTCCCTGTGGGGCACTCCTTAGAGGTGAGTTCCAGTCTCACTGGACCTCTACCTATCCAGCCTGCCTTCTACTCCTCACTCACTAGATGTCACTAGAGTCCCTCTGCCTTCCCTGCTTCAGGGCATCCGAAATGGAAGCTGCCTCTCTTCTAAGGCTCCCAACACCTTCAGTGTGATGCAGTTAAGTTCTGCAGAGTGCAGAGGACCAGCCAAGTCTTCCAGCACACACCTGTCCAGACCGTGGCAAGGACACTCAGTTACAGAGCTCACTTCCTTTGTGCCTTTGCCCAGATAGGACTGATAACAAGCTGCAGCAGCCCAGTGAGCAGGCTTAGAGAGGGACAGCCTCAGGGCTGGTGTGGAGGGTCTGGAAAAGGGAGCTGCCTTTGGGAGGCAGTAGGGCAGTTCTCTGAGGCGCCCTCATTCCCTCTGTCAACCTTGAACCCTTCCACAGTAGGGAGCTCTTCCAGAAGCAGACACCAAGACTGAGTTGGGGGTGTAAGATGTTTATTAGGATGAACACCTGTGGAAAGAAGCAGGTTTGGGCATGAAGAACTCAAAACTTCAGGAGGCCTGACAGAGCAGAGACCACAGAGGGGGCCTGGAAGGACAAACGCCTGGCAGAGTCTGCCCCACGTGCACAACAACCTAGCTTAGATACTGGGGCAGGCCTACCAGGGGGAAGGGCGTGGCCTTGGACAAGCTGCTATCTGCGAGGGACTGACCTTGTTGGAGGGCATTCACTCTCTCCAGTCTAGGAAGCCCTTCCTTGAACCAACTACCATTTGGCACATACCCTGCCCTCCCTACCTTTTCAATTCTACCTCTTGACAGAGACTTCCCCTCAGTTTGCTTCCAACCAGAAGCAGGGAAGATGCCCTTTGAAAACCCACACCCAGTCTTGGCTTATAGGAATATGGGCTTTGTTTGAGCCTAGGCACTCACTGGACCTGGCAGACAAGGCTTGAGGGGCAAAGGTACAGAGGGCCAAGGAGGAACAGAGCTAGAACCCCCTAAGACTCATGGCCTGTGGCCTCTGGTCACACGGGAAGCATACACTGCAGGCCGTGGCTGATGCTTCTCTGAAGCGCTGGGAGGGCACATCTGAGACACCTCAGTGTGCTTCTAGCCACTGCTGCTTGTGGGACCAGAAGTCTGTTCTCCACGATCCCTCCTACTCTACAAAAGGAGAATACAATTTACAGAGCACAGATTAGATGCTGCTCACCTCAAGCATGACTTCACTCTGAAATACCAATGTGATTCTCACGAGACACACACACGGGCAGCAGTTCCAGGAGCTGGGCTCTGAGCATTGCTGCCCCATCCTCATTAAACAGTCAAACTGACCCCCTTGGGTCAGTCCAGCCTGCACACCTGGCTCATCTGACCTAGGGACTTAAAAAAATATTTGCATGGGTTTTTATTTTGCAACTACAAGGACTTGTTTCCTGCACCTCTTGAAAAATGTGGCTATCTGGCTGGGGGGGGGGGCTAGCACCCTTGCACTGTCATGAAACCAGGGGCCGCCCCAGTTTGGCTCTCCCGCTTCTGCCTGCCTGACCACTCTAAAGATGGGTTTTGCCATCTTTAATGAAGGCAAGGATTCCTGAGACAGAGGGTAACAGAGGCCCAGGGAAGGATCCAGCTTTCCCTGCACCAGCCCATACTCTAGGCACTTGAAGCTGATCAGGGTGAGAAGCACACACATGCAGAACCACAGGGCGAGGTCGGGGCAAATACACTTTATTCAGTCCTGGCATCAGACTGGCGAGTCCTGCTGTGGGTGCCAGCGCCCCAGAGGAGGGGTCCCCTCCTCTCAGCTACGAGACTAGTTCTCCAAAGACCACAGACAGTGACATCTCTTCACTCACATGACGTTTCCGTTTTTTTCATTGTCTTTTTTGTTACTTGTTTTCTTAAAAAAAGAAAATAAAAAGAAAAAAAAACAAAAAGAAAACAGAAAGAGAAAAGAGAGAAAGAGCGCAAGAAAGGCCCAGAGCCGGAGCACCAAGCTTTAAGGAGGCAGCTGGTGGCTTTGTCAGCGAAGGGAACGCGTGGGGCAGAGACCTGCAGAGACCCAGGGCAGGGGTCGAGGAGGACTCTGGGACCGTTTGTTCCTGAGATTTGTGTGTGTGTGAATGAGTGTGTGTGTGCCACCCAAAAGGTGAACACACGCCGGTGAGATACAGGTAGTGAAGGCAGAGGGGATGAGGAGGCCAGAGGGGCGGGGCTCAGGCGGGAGACCAGTGGAGCAGACTTGGCACCCGGGCAGGGCTCCGGAGGGCGACCTAATCTCAACACAGCTTCCTAACTACAGCAGCATCACCCCTATTTCTCACAAGGGAAGACCGAGGTGCAAAGCACCCACGTCCACTAGCTCAGCCCTGTCCCTAGTCGCCCTGGCCTGGTCTCTCCTCAAGCCACTCTTGAGACGAGGGCCTCATTCCTGCCACCCCTGTCTGCTGGTATGCCTGTCCTAAACCCTAGCAACAACCTGCTTCAGTTTCTCCCACTGAATACTGCAGCTGTGGTTGTCGAGACCGGATCTGAGTGATAGGAAGGGGCGATGGACTTAGGGAGGAGCCCAGGCAGAGAGGATGCCCTGAGCTGATAGGGCACTTCCCGAGGAGGGGGATTGAGGGGGCAGCAGGAACTCTGTCCCCAGACTGGTAGGTGTCTTGGTTCTGAGTTCTCTTGGACATTCCCATCTTGGTGGATTTCCAGACAAAGACCAAATTCCAAATTCCCACTTGGGGAAAGGAAGTTTCCGGCGACCAAGATGGGCTGTAAAGGCAGTCACGCGGTGGAGGGTGGTGGTGGGCGTGGGTGACCCCATCATAGAAAAGGGGTTGACACTTGCAGAGTTTAGGGCTGGCTAGTTTCTATCTCTCCCTTTGAGTGCGCCTCCCATTAAGGCAGTAACGCCCCGTTGGGTCGAGAGGAAGCCACGGGCTCCGGGATCAAAGGATTTCTTAGGATTGCTCTATATTAGACACCTCCCTTTCGAAGTTGGCCACAGAGGCCTGCAGCTCAACTGGGACCAGCCCCCTCCAAGAAGCATCAAGCATGCGCAAGAAGGGGACGGTTCAAGCTGAGGGGTGGGGCCTCGAGATCCTGGGGGGCGGGGAGGGGGGGACGGATGCTCTACCCGCCCCTCCAGGAGAGGAGGAGACCGGGAGGAGCGCCGGACCGCCAGACCGCAGCGCCCCCTTAACCACCAAGGCAGGCCCGGGTGAGGGCGGAGGGATTTTGGAGCAAAGGGGCGTGCCGCCCGGCCACGAGGAGGGGCGTGTGCAAAGCGGGGGGGGGGGGGGGGGGGGGGAGGGGTTCAGGTATGTAGGAGGAATGGGAGGTGTATCCGAGGGGGGCTGGCTGCTGGTGGCTACGCGGGACAAGACTGGATGGGAGGGGCTTAGATGTCAGGGAGAAGGTGGGGGTTGGGCTGCCTTGGGGTGTGTCTGCGGGGGAGGGGTATGTCTGGATCTGTGGGGGGATGGGCACGACTAGGAGGGGGGAGGCTGCGCGGGAGATGGGGTGCCAGCCTCGGCCTCCGAGGGGCCCCAATACCTGATTCCTGTATGTAAACAGCTGGTTTGGGGGCGTGCGCGCCCCGCTGACGATGGGCTCAGTAGGTGAAAACCAGGTCGGCGATACTAGACGGGCGCCAGTCCCCTGCGATCATCTCGGTAACCTCAGGGGTACAGTAGTCCGGGAACTCGAAGTGTGACGTGCCCGAAGGGGGCAGCAGGTCCGGGTCGCGGTCCAGGGCGCTGCAGTCCAGGCCGGCGGGGCCCGGGGGCATCCTGGACAGAAAGCCCAGCGGCTCCTCCCCCGACGCCACCGTCTCCTCTTCGCCCTCTTCTGCTGTAACAGCCTCCTCCTCCTCTTCCTCGGGCTCCTCGTCCTCCGACAGGGTCGGGGAGGCGGCGCTCGCGGCCGCCCCCTCTCCGGATGGCCCCTGCGCGCGCTCCGCGGGTCCGCGGGCGGCGCGCCCCGCCGGGACCATCCTCCACAGCTCGCGCCCGGGGGTCTCCAGCAGGCGCACTTCCAGCAGCTCCTCCTCTTCGTCCTCGTCGTCGTCCTCAGGCGCCGCCGCGCCGCCCCCCAGAGGCCCTCCCGTCGCTCGGCGGCCCCCGCGGCCCGGCAGCTGCGGCCCGGGTTTCAGCCGGCTGCCGCCACCGCCGCCGCCTCCGGGGGGGCGGGGCCGCGCCTTGGCGGGCGCCCCCTTGCTCTTCTTGCGAGGCCGGTACTTGTAGTCCGGGTAGTCCGCCATGTGCTTGAGGCGCAGCCGCTCCGCCTCCCGTACAAACGGGATCTTCTCCGAGTCCTGAAGCAGCTGCCAGCGGCGGCCCAGGCGCTTGGAGATCTCAGCGTTGTGCATGTCGGGCCACTGGTCCATGATCTTTCGCCGTTCGTGTTGCGACCACACCATGAACGCGTTCATGGGCCGCTTGATGTGGCCGCTCGGGGTCTTGCACCAGCCGGGCTCGCGCGCCCCCTCGGCGGCCGGCCCGGGCCCCGGGGGCGGCGGCCCGCCGTCCCGCTTGGCCCGCGCGCCCCGCTGCTGCACCATCGCGCCGGGCCCGGGCCGCTAGACGCCGCCGGGGGCCGTCCGCATCCTCCGCGGCGGCGGTGGGGGAGGAGGCAGCGGCGACGGAGGGGCGGCCCCGCCCCGCGGCTGGGCCCGGCCCCCGCGAGCTGGGAGCGCGGCGCCCAGCGCTCGGACCGTCTGTGCGGGGGGAGGTTAGCGGCGCGGGCTCAGGCGGGCTCGGCGCGTCCCCGTCGCCCCGGGCCAAGAGAGCTCCGCCGCGCGCCGCGCATTGTTTTGCTGGGCCGAGTACTTGAGCCTCGCAGGTCCCCGAGGGCTCCGGTCGCGGCCTGGAGCTCCTCCGCGGCCCCGCGCGCGCTTGCCCGCCCGCCGCCGCCTTCCAGTGTCTTTCTCCCCGCGCGGCCCCGAAGGCGCGCGCGCTCCCCTCCCCCTCGCCGTCTGCGGGCTGCTGCGGCGCGCGCGGGGCCGCCCCGTGTAAACACCGAGGTGCCCGCTCGGGCAGCGGCCGGGCCACGCCTCGCGCTAGGTGTCGCGTCATCCGTTGCTGGGCAGAGAACTCGGCATTTGCATCTCCCAATCGCAGGCTGCTTGGGCGGGGCGGTCTCGTGCCTGGGATGGGATGGGGTTGGGGGGGGGGGGGGAGACGGATGAGGTCGGTTTCTTTTCTTAGGATGGTGGTTGGAGTGAAGGTGGGGGGACATGGAGCGCTTCCCATCTGGCCCTCAAAGCTTTTCTTTCTCCGCCTTGCTTTTGCACATTTAGATTATTAAATACACCTGCAGTCAGGTAGGAGTCTCCTCCCCGTCTCTTTCTGGGACACCGACGGACTGCCACAGAGCAGCGTTGATGGGGGTAGGGGACCGAGACTCAGCAAAGGTTTTAGGGGACAGACTCACATTGTCTTGGATGGATCCCCTCCCTGCTACACACCATCCAGCCACAAACAAATGCTTTTGGGTCAAATAATGGTTTTTATTTTATTTTTATCCTTTGGGGAGCTAAAGGGAACCCCATGGGACTAGAACGCCCGCTTCCCAGAGACAAGCCGCAGGACGCGCGCTGCCACTGGCGGTCCCAGCGCGCTCCCTAGCGCACCAAGGGGCAGGGCCACCCTGCACCGAGAGCCGAGCGACCTCGTGCGTTTCCTTCACCCCGGGCGCGTCCTGGATCTCGCCCAGCTCGCGCTGCCAGTCCACGCGGGGCGGGTGTGCGCATCGCCCTGCCCAGGGCGGAGCCTTCCTGGGGGCGTGACCGAGCGGTCTGCAGGCGGCGCGTGGCGGGGAGGGGCCGCGCTCTCGGGGCTCACCACGTGTGAGCCAGTTGTAGCACCACCCGGCGCGTGCAGCCCTAAGGGGAGGTCACCTTCAAGGCGCTTATGCCCGGGCGATGGGAGGGGGCGCTGAGGCCTCGCTCCTGTGTGCCCGAACTGTTCGGGGTCGGGTCCGTGACTCGAAAGTGATATTCTCTGTAGGGGAATGGGCATGGGCATGGTGGTTCAGGGTTGGCAGCAAGTAGTAGACCTCCCTCAACTCGGCACCGAGAGAACTGCGTGCGGGGTTGAGTGAGCTTCGGCAGAGGTTCAGAGCTGGATGGTGCTCTGGGAGGCAGGCGAGCGGGTGGATGGAGCCTCCCTAGTGGGAGGGGGCAACTCTAAAAGGCACCGATGCTGGAAACGGTTTTCACTCTGCTCCCGCCCAGGGCCCCTCTTCGCCTCATTGGAAGCTAGAAATCACTGGATTTTAATCTTCCCAACTGCGGCCTGGCACGGTTCTTTGTTCAATAGAGTCAGACTTCTAGCGTTCACTTCCCAGCCCTTCCTTCTGCTTATCTTGAAGTGCAGATAATGCTGTTTCTCCTTGGCTCAGTGGTCTTATGGATTAAGTGGGATAATCTATGTAAACACGGTCTTGACGCCTAGCAGAAAGTACAAGTTATCTGGAATTAGATTTCCTAGTAGTTAACACAGGTCACCAGCAGTGCACAGATACCAACTTCATGAGAAAAACATTTGGCGGGGTTGGCATGAATTTAACCTTTCAAAAAAAAGGCATCAAAACAGTGGTCATAGTGTGTTCATGTAAATTCCGGAGGCAGCGCCCAGCGCAATCTCTCATGCTTATAATCCCAGAAGCAGTCAGGATGAGGCAGAAGGATTACGCTTAAATTTGAGGCTAGCCATGGCTAATTTTCGAGACTTTTTTTTTTAAATTAGTACTTTTGCAATTTACTAGTCAATGTAGTTAAAGCGACATATGGGGAGCCAGCGAGATAGTTTAGCAGTTAATGTCACTTGCTACCAAGCCTGAGAGCTTTGAGTTAACATCCAACCCCACAAGGTGGAAGTAGAAAACTGACCCCCACAAGCTGCCCTGTGACAAGTCATTCTCATTCATTCTCTGCATCTCTGCCTGTCTCTCCTCTACACAGACACAACGTACATGTTTTAAGGTGTCATAAAGATTGCTAGCAGAGCTTCCTTTCATTGCTTAGAACCTTTCTACAGGCATTTTTAAAACCCTGTAGTACCAACGACCTTTAGGCTAGTGTCTTAGTCTTTCCCAATCATGCTCTTGGTCAGATTTACTTGATCCAGTTGCTTCATTGTTCTCAGGAGAAAAAAATATGCATCAGTTATTCCACCGCCTTTCCCTTCCGTCTTCCACACATGTGCTTGCCTTCCAGTTATTAATATCACTCCATAGCTAAGTCCTCTGATGGGGGCTGCATGGTTATAGATGACCTGGCAGAGTTTGGTCTTCTGGGGGGGATATTCTGCTTTCCCTAATACAGGTGTCAAGGACAGAGAAAAATGTCATCACCCATTTTTTTCTCCCTCCTCAAGAGACATTTACGCAGACAGACAGACTTACTAAGTTTCCCCTAAAGGAGAGGACGTTAAACATGCCAGGCGTTGGATCTGAAGCCAGGGCTACTGAGGTGCAGAAATGACTAAAACAGAGGCTCCCTTATTGTACTGTATTCATCTCGGGGCTGAGGGTTGGCCACAGAAGGGTATCTGGAGACCCGAGAACAGCTGACGGCAGTCATTTCTCTCTTCCCATCATGTGCATCTTGGGGATTCTCACCTTTACCAGCTGAGTCATCTCATTTGCTGGAGGCCCTTGAGGAGCAACTGGAGGAACAGCAACGGAAGAAAGCTAGAAGTGCAAGTGCCTAAGACAGAAAGGATGGGAGCAGAGGTGTTCCTACTGGTGAATTGGGGAAGGGTGGCATGTGGAGTCTGCCTTGATTTCAGCAGCTCACAGTGCTGCTCAGGCTCACTTTAAACCTCTCGGCTCCATTAACACTTTTCCACCACAGCCTCCCGAGGTCCTAGAGTAATGCAACCCTACCCAAGGGGGATAGGTTGTAAGACCCTTGCCATGGTGCTTTGAAGTTGTGACTAGCACCCAAGTTTGCGTATACCGTTTCCCCAGTGCACATGGGTTTGACAGCTTTCCCATCGTAATGAAGCACACGGCTCATTGTGCTGATAGCTTCTGGAATCGGAGGAACAACAGCAAAACTAGTATGCATTTTTTATCTCGCAATTTCTATCTTTTAAAGATTCACTTGTGTGACGGGGTGTGTGCAGATAGATGTTTGCAACAGAGGCCACAGTGTGGCTCAGTGGGTAGAGTTCTTGCAAAGAATACAAGAAGCCCCGGAGTTTCAATTTTCAGATCCCCAGAACTACATGAAACCAATTGTGGTGGTACACCCTTACCATGTCAGCACTCAGAAGGGGTAAGGCAGAGGGACCAGAAGTTCAAGGTCGTCCTCTGCTGCACAAGCTGGAAGTCAGCCGGGACTACATGAGGCCTAGCAGGAATAAATGAGGAATAGATGAATAAAGAAATGGCTTGTTCCCCACAGTGGTGCTCTTAGAAGTTGGTGGAAGTTTCTTTAAGGGGACGGTCTTCAGGTCCTGGAAGAAGATATTTAAATGTCCATCCTGCTCTGTTTTCTTTCTTTGTTTTGTTTTGTTGACATACCCACCTACCATGCTGTGTTCTCTGGTTTTCTACAGCCAGTATCAATCAATCCTGAAAGGAAACCTCCCCAATTGAAAGAAACCTCCCCATAACTTGATTGTCTCAGGTAATTGTTACAGTGCCTGAAAGCTGACTGACTTCTCATTCACACTCCCCCCATCTCCACCCCTACCTGACTAACTTCTCATTCACACTCCCCCCCCCCATCTCCACCCCTGCCTGTTTCTTTAGGATGAGTTTACAGAAAGAGACCCAGCTGTCTAAAGTTGCATACATTTACTGGCACTGGAGAGCTGCCTCAGTGGTTGAGACCAGGTACCGCTCTTCCAGGGGACCTGAGTTTGATTTCCAGAACCTAAACTGAGTGGCTTACAACTGCCCATTAAACTCCAGCTTCGGGGATCTTACACCTTTGGCCTCGGTGTGTGCACATACCCATACATATAATTTAAAAGATAAACACACATTTAGGGCTGCATGTATAGCTCAGTGGTAGAGCATGCGCTTACGTGTATGAGGCTCTGGGTTTAATCCCAGGCTCAAACCAAAATAACAAAAGATACAGCTATAACATATGTTCCATAAGCATGCAACCCTGGATTCTGGCTTGCTTTTATTTATGTATTCACTATTATACTTTATTTATTTATGTATATACATGTACACATGCATGTATTCCACGGCACATAAAGGGTCAGAGGACAACCTCTCTCCTTCCAGAATATGAGTCCTAGGGTTTAAACTCTGGTTATTAGGTCTGGCAACAGTGTCTTAACCTGCTGAGCCATCTCGCCAAGCGTTTTATTTCTGTAGTGTACTCCGCTCATTGTCACCTGGGGCAGACAACTTGGAAACACTGTGTTCAAATGGACTTTTCAAGTAGCAGTCCTAAAATAGAATGAACAGTACTAATACAATAGTGGCCAGAAAAAATACAGAGAATGACAATATCTCTGATTGAACTTTGTATGTAATTATCGCGGTCGAGGCAAATACTACATCCAAGCACAAGAAGTGGAACAGACGGCGGAAGAGATGGCTCTGGTGAAGAGCACTTGATGCTTCCAAAGGTCTAATTCCCAGCACCTACGTGGTGACTCACGACATCTGTAGTTCCAGTTTTAGGGACTCCTGCACTCATCTGGCCTCTGTAGACACCAGGCACACACAAGGTGCACAGACATACATGCAGGAGAAATTCACACATGCGGTAAGAAAAAAAGGTGGAGCTCAAGGCCAGCCTTATCTCCACGAGTGTCAGGCCAGTCAGGGCTATGTGTTGAGACCCTGTCTTAAAAAAACAAAATAGAGGCTAAGAGCACTTGACAGCTCTTCCAGAGATCCTAAATTCAATTCCCAGCAACCACACAGTGGGATCAGATTCCTTATTCTGGTATTCATGAAGACAGAGCACTCATATACATAAAATACATGAATAAATAAATCTTAAAACAGAACAGAGAGCTAACTGGGACTGTGGCTCTGTAGTTTAGCATGTGCAGCTC